CACAATCCTATGGGATCAGGGCTCCGCTCTTATTACTTCATTTAACTGTACTGGGTTTCAACATAGGTATTTCAGGGGACACAAACATTCAGTCCACCACAAACATCTAGTTTCGAGAAAAAAATTTCGGTAGTGTTTGAGAACCTTCTGCCTGTGTCAGAGCCCTGGGGGACTGAGATGATGGAGGGGATGGGCCAGAGGGGGTCTTGACTCCCAAGTTTACCCAGTGAGGGGAAGGCAGGTCCTGATCACACTACAGGAGTGTATGTTATGGGGCCTTCCTCTGTGGATGACAATTTAGGGAAAACTGTTCTTAGAAATAATGGTGGTTTTCTTACAGAGGACTACGTGGTTTAAAAGAAGAGAGAGAGAAAGAAAAGAAAAAAAAAACACGATGATTTCCAAGTCGAACAGAAAATTTTAAAAATCCAGAATGGGGTTAAAATTGGCTACACATTGAAATTCAGTGGGGGATAATTCTCTTGAAATACAATTAAACCAAGTACACAATGAAGCAGAGAGTGCACGTTTAATTTATCTAGAGCCAGGGATAAGTGTTTAGTTTTGTGATAATGACTTGCGGAGATTCAGAAGGAAATTTCTGGGCTATCTTGATCACCCTTATTATTATACCTGATTCCACTTACTTGGACATGGCTGTACCGTAATTTCTATATTTGATTTCCTAGCTATTGTTAACAACTGTGTTTTCCTCACAAATGTAATGAAGAGACAAAGAGACAGTGGACATTTTCTGGCAGTATCTGGAAAGGATCTTGGTGCGTCGTCACATCGAGCGCGTGTCTGACACACAGCAGCCGTTCAGTAGATATGTATTGGATGGATAGGTGAGTATGTCAGAACTAAGTGACACACAGGAATTCAGGGGGTCAAATGGATGCTGGCTTACAAATGAGGAAGTGATTGCTGGAGGTGGAATTTTCTGGTACTTGGTGCTTGCTGGTTCTGGACGTCCACCTGCCTCCTGGCGGCCTCTTCCAAGTCCAGCCTGTGTGTCTGCGTATCAGTGTGGTCTTTGGTGTAGAGTATGGTTAGAGGCCAGGGCAGGGGAAGGTTAGGCTGGTTCCCCGGGCCTCCAATGAAGATGCCCTGAGCCCTCGAGCTCTGTAGATGAGGTTCTAGCACATTCTCTGCTATTTCCACCCTTCTTTCTTCCTTCCTGAATTCTCCACACTCAGTCTTCTCACCTAGCTCTTGTTTCCCTTTCCACAATGTGGCCCCAGTTCTCCAGGGCTGCACGAAACTTGGAGAGAGCATTGTGGTGCTAGTGATGACTAACGCAGGTGGGGGGACCTTGTTGATGTGTCCCCCTTAAACTCACTGTGTCTGCAGGGGGTGGCATTAAAGGGACACAAGTGAATGGAGAAAAAAGACCTAGGGGTGCCCAGGAAAGGGTGAGCAGTTGCTCCAGAGGAGGCTGGGAGGGAGGCAGGAGAGGAAGGCTGGTGGGGAGTGATGTTCAACAGACTTAGACTGATGGGGCTTATCTATTCCTCCCCTGCGCTCTGTGGGACAGACCTGCCTCCATGGTCCTGGGTCAGTTGCGTCTTCATCATCAGACTTCCTCAGTCACCTTGCCCACCATCTCCATTTCCTTGCAGGACCCTGGGACTCACCAGATATACAGATATATATTCAGGGATGGGGACTCCTGCATTACTGTCACAAACCCAGAGGCCCACAGGCTCTGCAGGGAACATACAACTACAGCCAGGGATAAAACACTTGAAGGAGATAGAAGTAACATTTTTCTTTACATGTTTCTGTGATTGCAAAAGTGGTACATAGTCATTGTAGAAAATCAGCAGAGAGCTTGAGGGCTGTGAATCCATCACCGTAGGGGTCGGGCAGAGCAAAGCGAGTCTGAGAAGGATTTAGGCCTTTGAGGGCTGTGGTCTGACTTCTGCCCGGCCAAGTGCCAGGGATGGGCGGACTTTGATTCCTATGCCAGCTCAGTGACTGTGCCAAGGGCCCACGGGGAGGTGGACTTCAGATAGGATTCAGCCACCTCCTTTGTCCTCTTCTCCCAGAGGCAGCTGAGCTGCTTAAAAGAAGGCAGGGGTGCAGGGGAGGTTGTGGGCTGACTGGGAAGGAGGGCAGAGGAGAGGCCCTGCACACAGTGTCTGTCACAGGGGACAAAGATCCTAACAGTGCTTGGGAACATGGGCAGAAGAGCCTGAAGGTGATGAGTGTCCCCAAGCCCACTCCATGAGTGGGAACTGGGGGTGTGGGCAGACATGGGGCTTCTGAAGTGAGTAGCTTCAGGCAGGACTGTGGTCATTCCCCACCAGGTGCTGCTTCAGCCCTTCCCATCTCTTGCCAACCCAGGCCAGGGTGGCCATCCCCAAGCCCTCCTTTCCCTCCTGCAGGAAGCCTTGGGAATGCAGGGCTTGAGCTTAAGCCATCCCTGAAAGCAGCCTGACCAAACCACCTTCCTCCCTGCCTCTCCTCTGAGCACAGATGAGGACGCTGATGTATTTGGCCTTGTCTCCTTCTCTTGGGGACCCGGGATGGCTCTTGTCACAAACCCAGAGGCTTACAGGACCCACAGGGGACACAGGCACTGCGGTTGCCAGAAGAGCATGTGTCCTGGGCAAAGGGTTGACCTGCCCTGAACTCTGCAAACTGTAACCATGTAGGAAGGTAGCCTCACCTTCTGACATCTGGATTTAAATAAATTTTCCTGATTTTTAAATGTTGGCAACAAACCTCAAAACATTTTAAAACAATGTGCAGGCCAAGCCCCATATTACCAGAGGCTGTCTTTGACTGGCATGTGCTGGTGGCTGATACTCCGTGAGCACTTACCATGCCAGGGAATGTTCTGGTCCTTTCTGTGTAGTCAAGTTGCCATTGCTGTCATCTCACCTCCCAACTTGGGAAACGATGCACAGGCAGAGGAAGTGACAGGCAGCAGATCACGATTTAAGACGTGGTGTTTGAGTGCTGGCAGTCTGACTTGCGCTCCCACAAGCAAACCCTGGGGCTTTTACCCATTTCTATGTAAGACTGAGTCCCTGGAGGGCATGGCCAAGACTTAACGAACAGCTCTGTTTTAATGAGTATTTTCTTTTTTTTTTTTTTTTTGAGACGGAGTCTCGCTCTGTCGCCCAGGCTGGAGTGCAGTGGCCGGATCTCAGCTCACTGCAAGCTCCGCCTCCCGGGTTCATGCCATTCTCCTGCCTCAGCCTCCTGAGTAGCTGGAACTACAGGCGCCCGCCACCTTGCCCGGCTAGTTTTTTTGTAGTTTTAGTAGAGACGGGGTTTCACCGTGTTAGCCAGGATGGTCTCGATCTTCTGACCTCGTGATCCGCCCGTCTCGGCCTCCCAAAGTGCTGGGATTACAGGCTTGAGCCACCGCTCCCGGCAGTTAATGAGTATTTTCTACGTGCTTAGTGAGTACATGTTATCTTCAAGCCTCACAACCACCCTGTGAAGTCCGTATTAACATCCTTATGTTAAGGGTTAGAAGGTTCAGAAGGAGTGATGTTAGGACACCCTTTTCAATAAACGGTGCTGGGAAAATTAAATTGCCATATGCAGAAGAATGAAACTGGACACATATCTCTCACCATATATAAAAATCAACTCAAGGATAGACACAGTGGCTCATGCTTGTAATCCCATCACTTTGGGAGGCCGAGGCAGGTGGATCACTTGAGGTCAGGAATTTGAGAACAGCCTGTCCAACATGGTGAAACCCTGTCTCTACTAAAAACACAAAAAATTAGCCAGGCATAGTGGCGCATGCCTGTAATCCCAGCTACTCAGGAAGCTGAGGCATGAGAACTGCTTGAACCTGGAAGGCAAGGGTTGCAGTGAGCTATGATAGCACTACTGTACTTCAGCCTGGGTGACAGGGCAGGACTCCGTCTTAAAAAAATAAATAAATAAAATAAACTCAAGATGGATTAAAAACTTAAGTGTAAGAACTGACACTATAAAAATCTTAGAAGAAAATCTAGGAAAAACTCTTCTGGGCATTGGTCTAGGCAAAGAATTCATGACAGAAACCTTAAAAGCACAAGCAACAAAACCAAAAATAGACAAATGGGACTTAATTAAACTAAAAAAGTGTTTGCACAGCAAAATAAACCATCAACAGAATGAACAACCTGCAGAACAGGAGAAAATATTTGCAAACTATGTATCCAGTAGGGGACTGTTATCCAGAATATATAAGAAATTCAAACAACTCCACACACAAAAAAAATCCAAATAATGTCATTAAAAAGTGGGTAAAAGACATGAATAGACATTTTTTTCAAAAAGAATACATACCAGGTGTCTAAGAGGCATATGAAAAAATGCTCAACATCAAAAGTCATCAGAGAAATGGAAATTAAAACCACAGTGAGATCTTATCTCACACCAGTGAGAATGGCTATTATTAAAAAGTCAAAAAATAACAGATATTGGTGAGGATGCAGAGAAAAGAGAACACCTATACACTGTTGGTGGGACTGTAAATTAGTACAGCCCCTATGGAAAACAGTATGGTGATTTCTCCATACTGTCTTAAAAATAGAGCTACCATTTGATCCAGCAGTCCTACTATTGGTATCTACACAAAGGAAAAGAAATCAGTGTATCAAAAAGAAACCTGCACTTGTATGCTTATCACAGCACTGTTTATAGTAGCAAAGATATGGAATCAATCCATCAATAGACGATTGGTTAAAGAAAATGTATGTGTGTGTGTATGTATATATGTGTGTGTGTGTGTGTGTGTATATATGGAATGGAACACTACACTGCCATAAAAAAGAATGAGATCATGTCTTTTGCAGCAACATGGATGAAACTGGAGGTCATTCTTTTAAGTGAAATAACTCTAAAACAGAAAGTCAAATACCACATGTTCTCACTTGTAAGTGGGAGCTAAATAATGTATACACATGGACACGGAGTGTAGAATAATAGACATTGGAGACTCAGAAGGGTGACAAGGTGGCAGGGGGTGAGGGATGAGAAATTACTTAATGGGTACGATGTATATTATTAGGGTGATGGTTACACTAAAAGCCCAGACTTCACCACTAAGCAATCTATCCATGTAACAAAACTGCAATGTACCCCCTTAAATTTATTATTATTTTTTAAAAGGAGTGACTTTCCTGAAGACTCTCAGTCTCGAGTGTAGAGGGCTATGACCGACACTCAGGTCCATCTGGCTCTTTCTGTGCAGCCTGTTGTCTTTCTGAATCCTTGTGTCCAGCCTAGGGCCAGGCTCCACGGGGCCACTGGGGAAGGTAGGTGAGTGTCTGGGCTTGGCCGCTGAGGCTGCTGGGCCGGACTCCTGGGGCAGCCTCCCAGCCTGGGGCTCAGTCCAGGATGGTAGGCTCACTTGGCTCGGTCCTTCTCGCTCTTCTGCGGTGAGAGGCACTGCCAGATCCCCCTGCAGACCATCTCATTGCCCAGGGCATAGTTGATGGCATTGATCGTGGGCACCATTTTGGCAATGAGGGCGGGCACCTGTTGTGGCAGAAAAGTCCAGAAAAGAAGCTTCAAAGCCACTGCTCCTCTCTCTGGTCCCACCTGGTGACCTCAGTCACCCCCACCTGCAGCTGCCAATCATTTAGTTCTGCAGCCTTGGAGCCTTCCCTCACTAGTTGGCAGAGATTCATGGCTCATGGAGCCCATGGAGTCATACTCTTGTCCAGACCCACCTGCTCCCAGCCTGGGCACCAATCTCAACCCCTAGTCACAGGGTCCTTATCTGCACCATCTGGCTGGCTGTCCCTGTCATCTCACATGAGGTTTGGGCAATGTCAAGCAGCAGCCTGGTATGACTCAGGGACGAGGTAGGGGATTAGGGAGGCAAACTAATGCTCTATGCATTGTGAGTATCCAAAGGAAGAAACACAGACAGGAAGAGACTGACACAGAGGCCATAAATCCAGAAAGTGAGATGAGGTGAGACGGAGACATAAAGACTGACAGGGGTCTAGCTTTGGGTACTAGAAGTATCTGTACCATCTGCAGTTTGGGGGAGATGGAAGTCACATCTGCGATGACGGCGTATAGATACAGGATGGCATAGGGGCCCCAGCCGAGCAGCAGCGTCCTTGCTGGCAGAGTGGTGTTTACCTGGGGAGAAATTGTGGCAGGAGATGTCAGCTTGCTCCAGGTGGCCCACAGCCCCATGTGGCCAAGAAGACCAGGTCAGCACTCAGCAGGGCTGGGCAGCATGAGCCACGCTTCAGGAGGGAGCTGAGTCTGCAGGGGAACTTGGGACCAGATGGGCCTCTCTGTTGTTTAAGACTGTGTGACCTTAAGCCTTTTATTTAAGCTTGCCTGACCTCAGTTGCTGTGTCTGTAAAATGGCCTGATAATACCTGACGTGGCTGGAGGCCGAGACTGGGTGGATAATGAGCTTACCCCTGGGTTGTACTCTTTGTTTGTTTGTCAAATACAGACAGGGTCTCACTATATTTCCTAGGCTGGTCTCGAATTCCTGGGCTCAAGGGATCCTCCTCCTTCGGCCTTCCAACGTGCTGGGATTCCAGGCATGAGCCACTGTGCCTGGCCCGGGTCTGTGCTCTTTAAGAGGAGTCCTGGGCTCCGTGACTGCGTGCTCAAGGGACCCCAGGCTGAGCTGCCCTCAGGCCTCAGTCCTAGAACCAACTGGTCATCCACAACTACAGCCACCTGGCGAGACCACCCTGCCTGGGCTCCCAAAGTGAAATATAATCAGCGGGGACGGGGCTTGTCCGGAGAGCGGGAGACGCTGGGGTGCCGCGTGGCGCCATGAGGGGGCGCAAGACTCGCGCTTTAATTTCAGCGGGAGCGGCCGGGTTCCTACCCCCCACCCCCAAACACACACACGCGAACGAGCAAACTGACGCTAAAGTTCCTGCCTGTTTTCTCCCTGACATGACTTTCTTTAACAAAGAGGGTGATTAAGGTGAAAGAGAACATATTTTCTTCCATCTTGGATTTTTAAAATATGTTGAGCAAGAGACTCTTTTTTCTCTTAATTGTCCCTTATTTGGGGGTGGGGGAAAGGGAGCTCAGCACTGCGGGGCCCTCCCGGGAGCCGAGGCCGTGAGACGTGGAATCCCCTGGAGAGGCTGTGCGGTCTCCGGAAGCCGCTTAGCTTGGGATGAGGTCCCTGGACCCCTGCGTGTGACCTTAACGATGCCCACCAGAGACAATGGTTTAAAGTCAACCCAGAAAAATGAGGAGATCATGGTGGCAGCCTTGTCTCCTGGCTGCCTGCGCCTCCAATAAATGCGAACTTTGCGCCTCCAGACAGAGTTTGGGACGGGCATCGCGGAGGACAGTCTGGAGGCGGCGCCTATGCTAGCAGCCAGCTGGGAGCCAGGGGACTGGATTCTGGTCCCAGCAAAGTCCTTTCTCTCCTTCTGACCTCGGGGGAGCATCGGGGCTGCAGCTAAAATAGATTTGCACAGTCCTTTTCCAATTTACAATAAATAAATAAAGTGGCAGATGAAGTGACTTAAAAAAAAAAAAAAAAGAGAGTTTCTTTCATGCACTGTGATTGACCACGTGGGTGGTGGAGTCCCAGACCTAAGTTTGAATCCAGGTGTGTGGCTTTTGGTGAGTTGCTTAGTTAACGCCCATCTCAACCTCAATTTTTCAGTCCACGGCACAGGGATAAGAAAACCTCCTTCTGGCCGGGCGCGGTGGCTCAAGCTTGTAATCCCAGCACTTTGGGAGGCGGAAATGGGTGGATCACCTGAGGTCAGGAGTTCAAGACCAGCCTGGCCAACAGATACAAAAGATAGAAAAATTAGCCAGGCATGGTGGCGGGTGCCTGTAATCCCAGCTACTAGGGAGGGTGAGTCAGGAGAATCGCTTGAACCCGGGAGACGGAGGTTGCAGTGAGCCGAGATTGCCATTGCACGCCAGCCTGGGCAACAGAGTAAGACCTTGTCTCAAAAGAAAAAAAGAAAAGAAAAGAAAAGAGAAGGCTGGGCATAGCGGCTTATGCCTATAATCCCAACACTTTAGGAGGCAGAGGCGGGCGGATCACCTGAGATCGGGTTTGAAACTAGCTTGACCAACATGGAGAAACCCCGTCTCTACCAAAAATACAAAATTAGCTGGGTGTGGTGGCACATGCCTATAATCCCAGGTACTCGGGAAGCTGAGGAAGGAGAATCGCTTGAACCCGGGAGGTGGAGGTTGCGGTGAGCCGAGATTGCGCCATTGCGCTCCAGCCTGGGGGACAAGAGCAAAACTCCGTCTCAAAAAACTAAAAAAAAAAAGAAGAAAACCTCCTTCCTCATAGAGTGGTTGCAAAGATGAAATAATACTAAGATCTGAATTTATTCTAATCTTTGTTGCTTGTTAGGACTCCTTTGTTGGAGGTCATCCAGGTGACCAAGTTAAAATAAAACCGTGGCAAGGGAATAGTAACGCAGAAATTTAAAAATGGCTAGGAGGGCTTATTTTGAAGTACTATATTTCTTGGACAAATGTGCTTATAGGTTTGATTTTTATCTTTTGGACACCACCCTGTGACTGTGATTAAATTAAACATCTCAAAGCACTTTAAAAGCAGCATTTAAAAAGACTGTAACTTTGTGCCAAACCTCAGATCCTTGGCAAGAATTAAGTGGAACAGCAGGGATGGTGTCCGGCAGGGAGCCCTGGTCGCCAGAGTTACCGGGTCTGGGTGAATCTGAGCGGTCCTGATCCTCCCTCCCCAGGCCTTAGCGATCTGAGCAAAGGGAGGGTGGTTTCCAGTTCTAACATCCTATGCTGTGCACAAGCTGGATTTTCTCTTGATCATTGAAAACGCAGAAAACCCCTGGTTGCTGTCTGTCACATTGTTCATATTCCCTGGTGTCCCTGAGTGGAGCCGAGAAATTTCTGCTGCCCTTGAGGCAGGAGACTAGCAGAGGGAATTGGAGGTTAAAGGGTAGAATAAGTAGAAGCAGAAGCAAGGTGAAGAGGCCGTGAGCAAGAAGCAAGACAAGAAACAGAAGTTGAGCAACCAAAACAAAAATAAGATTAAAAAGTGAGTAAGAAGCTCCCATGGCCGGCTAGATCTGGACCAAACCTGTCAGGAGCAGCTCCTCAGAGATGGGCATGCGCATTAGAGAGAAAAAGTATCCTTAAAATGACCCTGTATGATAATAAGCTCATTAAAGCTCATGCATATGGACTGCGTATCATGCATATACTTAAGATTATGGGATGGAGGTGACAGGCAAGCACACAAGGGCCAAAGCAACTAAGTAACCTATCAATCAAAAGGCAGACGCTGGCTAGAGATTAGGCAGCCTTGGGAAGAGAAGAAAAATAAACATATAAAAGAACCCAAAATACACCAAACTGGTGCTGATCTCACTTCGCAGAGATCGATCCACCCTCCCCTCTCTGAGAGTGTAATACTGTGCTGAATAAACTTTTGCTGCTTTGCTTTGCTGCAAAAGCAATGAAATTTGCTTTGCTATTTGTGTGTGTCACATCCAGTTCTTCGTTCGGGACACCAAGAGCCTGGGGCTGCGCCGCACCATCAGATAACACTCCGGGAGGGTTCCTTACCTGGAGATGACCGCTCTTCCCCAGTTTCTGCTCCATGAGACTGTAGGATGTGATCGTGATGAAGAGGGGCATGGCGAAGTTGAAGAAGGACATGGTGAAGAGGAAGCTGGTGAAGTTTCTACAGGGAGAGCGGATGGAGGACTGGGGTCAGCTCTCAGGGGTGGCCAGCTGCCCTCAAGGACCCACCAGCTCTGCTCTCGATGATCGGATGTGGGGAAATGCTCCATTCAGACAAGTACTCAGTGTGATTGCTCCCGGGTCCCAGGTGAATTCCCTTTGGGAGCCAGGGAGCTACAAAGTCCCCCTAGAACTTGCCTTTAGAAGCCAGGGAGCTCCGAGGAGTAAGAGGCCTCTTTCTTGTTCAAGTGCTCAGCCCTGCTTTCCTGTTTGTCCCCCAAGCATGAAGAATGGGAAATTTTAGTTTGGAAAACATGTTCACCCAATGGTGGGGATGTCAGTGGACCAGGAGGAAGGAACATTCAAGGAGCATTCTAGGCCCAAAGGTTTTAAAAGAAGACTGGATAACAAGAAGATTGGATACTACGTCACTGAAGAAATGGTTGAAGAGCCTGGGTTCCCAGGTAGTGGTCATGGGGAGGTGAAGGGAATGGTGGGAGTCCCAGGGAGGCAGATTCCCATTTTCTGAAGGGAAGACTATGTCACCTTGGAGCTGTACACCAGGGAGGGGCAGCTGGAAGGACTGGACCCTGGCTGGGGAGGGCCATGGAGGGACACTTGGACCAGGCCCAGCATTCTCAAAAAGGCATCACCTGGAAAGCCCTTCGTCCAGTGCAGATGCCTCATGATTAAACACCATGGGTAAAGCAGATGAATGCAACGTGGCTCTACTGGCAGCAAGAGGGGCTGGAGCCCATGTGACCATTCCTCAAGGCAGTTTCTAAAGGATCCCCCTAAGCCCTTGTCTCCCTAGAGCCGCCTGATGGGGCAGTACCAGAACACAAGCCCCATGAGGGTGGGGACCCTCATGCATTCAGTTCTATTTCTCCAGGGATTGCCTCATAGCGTATGCTCAGGGCGTTCCCTCCCAGTGGAAGGACCATAATGTTCTTTGAATCTATTGTGCCAAGGGTATGGCACCCTCTAGAAACTGATGAGGTCAGAGCCATGATGACTGACTGTGCTGAAGACGGCAAAGAGGTGGTGTAGCTTGGTGACTGTTATCACTGACGCAAGCCAATGGCTCCCTGTATGATGTCTCTTTTTGGGTTCAACTCTGGGTCCCAATTTTCATAGCATTCCCATCACCCGGCCAGTTTTCAGAACAGCTTTTTCCAGTCCCAATGTCTGCCTACATGTAGGTATCATGACTAAGGAGTTGAGATTATCTGGCAAACATTCACATTTTCCCATTTGGATTTTCAGCTGGGGCACCCTTGTCATAGGATTTCAAAGCCAAGATTCCCATGGATAGGAGCCTCGAAGCTGCTCCTCCCACCTCACCTGTCCCCTTTGGAGTAGTCCAGGGTGCAGCATGTCCCCAGTGGCTCATAGTCATAGTGTCCCCAACCCAGGAGGGGCAAGGCTGCCCAGAAGGTAGAAGACAGCCACACGAAGAGCACCAGAGAGATGGCTGAGTTCCAGGCCAGCTGGCTGCCTGCCCAGGACAGAGGAGGAAGAGGAGGTTGTGAGGAGGAGATGGCCTGGTAGAGTGAGAAAGAATGGACTTCCCTATCTTGAAGAGTGTCCCTTCGAGTGATCCACCCGCCTCAGTCTCCCATAGTGCTGAGATTACAGGATTGAGTCACCACATCCTGCCAGAAGGAGGTTTTCTTATCCCTGTGTCATGGTCTAAAAAATTGAGGCTGAGAAAGGGATTAACTAAGCAACTCACCAAAATGAGAACTGCAGCTCTGATGCTTAATAACTCAGGGCCTCAGGCAAATGAAAAGCTTCTCTGAGCCCCAGTGTTCTCGCCCACAAGGGGAATGATAATCCTTGCCACAAGGGGAATGATAATGAGTTGCTCAGAGGATTGTTATGAAGAACGAAATAGATAATGGATGGTGAAGGTCTCCAAATAGACACACTATACCATCTTCTTCAGAGGACAGAGACAAGGAGGAGTGGCAAAGAGACAGATGTGTTTTCAAAGCCAAAGTTCAGGAAGAAGCATGGGCAGGGGTTCAGGTGAGGGTCATAGGGGATGGAGGCAGAAGTCTGGACTTACCACCATCCTCAGCACTTGCTCAGAATCAGGCCACTTCCCCTGCTTCCAGGATACCCTCTGAGAATGCTTGACTCGGGGGTTGGGGCTCAATCTCAGTGCCAAAGGCAGAGGCTGGGTCCCAGCAGCATCTTTTGATGTGAACCAGCCATGCTGATTTGACCACCTCTGATCCCTTCCCTGAAGCCCCCTCTCTGCTGCAGTGTCACTGGGTCCTTTCCATCCAGTGGTTCCTCCTGGATCTGGCTTCAGGATGCACTTCACAGGTGCCCTCTTCTGTCTACTGTTTATTTGTCATACTCCTTTGTGTATGAGATCCCAGGCAGAGGACAGGTCTCTAGGTGGGTTTTGATCAGGAGAGAAGAGCATATCTACAACCTCCCTCATCTGACACTTTGCTTCTACTGATAGGGCTCCAGATGGAGTTTGCTTGGATGTGACCTTCTGATATGAACTGAATGTTCGTGTCCCCTCAAATTTATATGTTGAAGCCCTAATCCCCAATGTGATGGCATTTGGAGGTGGGGCCTTTGGGACATAACTAGGCCATAAGGGTGGAGCCCCCATGATGCGATTAGTGCCCTTATAAGAAGGGACACAATTAACTGGACGTGGTGCATGCACCTGTAGTCCCAGCTACTCAGGAGGCTGAGGTAGAGAATCACTTGAACCCAGAAGGTGGAGGTTGCAGTGTACTGAGATGGTGTCACTACATTCTAGCCTGGGCAACAGAGTGAGACTCTGTTTCAAAAAAATAAAATAAAAGAAGGAACACAAGAGTGACAATCTGTCTCTTTTTATATGAGGACATGGCAAGAAGGTGAACATCTATAAACCAAGAAGCTAGCCCTCAACGAACCTGACCATGCTGACACCTTGAATTTGGACTTCCCAGCCTGAATAACTGAGAAATAAATTTCTATTGTTCAAGCCACCCAGTCTTTAGCATTCTATTATAGGAGCCTGGGCAGACTAAGACACCTCCCAACCCAACTGTGGGCACAATAAATATGTGCATGGATAGGAAGATTCAATATAGTTAAGATGTTAGTTCTTCCAATCTTTTAAAAAAAATTTTTTTTGAGATACAGTCTTGCTCTGTCACCCAGGCTGGAGTGCAGTGGCATGATCTCGGCTCACTGCAACTTCTGCCTCCCAGGTTCAAGCGATTCTCCTTCCTCAGCCTCTCAAGTAGCTGGAATTACAGGCTCATGCCACCACGCCCAGCTAATTTTTGTATTTTTAGTAGAGATGGGGTTTCACCATGTTGGCCAGGCTGGTCTCGAACTCCTGACCTCAAGTGATTTGCCCACCTTGGCCTCCCAAAGTGTTGGGATTACAGGCATGAGCCACTGTGCCTGGCTTTTTCTTTTCTTCTTCTTGTTTTTGTTTGTTTGTTTTTGTTTGTGTTTTTGTTTTATTGAAGCATGGTCTCATTCTGTTGCCCAGGCTGGAGTGCAGTGGTGCCATCTCGGCTCACTGCAACCTCTGCTTTCCAGGTTCAAGCAATTCTCTGTGGGCACAATAATGAATACCTACCTGGACCCTTGTGCTGCCTCAGACTTTCAGCTTTAGAAACAGACGGCCAAGGTGACATGCCTACAACCACCCAGGGATGGAGTAGATGAATTCAGACCTCCTCATTCCCCTTTGCCTGCCTTCACACTGCTCTACCATGCTCTCAGTATAGAAAGGGCTTTGATCTAAGGCCTCTGGCATAGGGATTAACTGTTCTATATTGAGGCAGAGAAGCCTGTTGCTGTCTGAGAAGGTGGTGTGTGTGTGTGTGTGTGTGTGTGTAAAATGGTCCAAGGGATCACTGGGGCGGGGGCTGGGATGGAAGTAGTGGGAGAAGCGCTCTGAGGCCAGGTGGACAGGAAGGCTAAACTATTGCCACTCAAAATGATGAGACCGATGGAAGCATTTTGGCCTGGAGAGACCCATGATGGGCAGTGACTTTGCAGGGAAGGGGGCTGTACATGTGACTATGGCAAGGGAAGTTCTGTGGATTCCAAAGAGGCCATGCCACAGCTTGAGGCTGTGCTGGCCATAGACCTCACAGCAGCCTCTGTGCTGAGCAAATTCATAGCTCAGGACTTGGAGATACCAGGTCGTGCCCAGTGTCAGCTCTGCCCTTAGTAGCTGTGTGACCCTAGGCAGGCTGCTTAACTTCTCTGTGCCTCTGCTTCCAAGGCTGTAAGCTGAGGGTTTGCTAGGAGGGTTAGCTGAGCCACAGCTCCCCAAAACATGTTTATGTACCCATGGTGGTGAACAGGGTTCTAGATGGTCTCTGGGTGAACAGTTTTTATTTTAATTGTATTAAAATTATAAGAACATTAAACCTGTGATTTCCCAGATGTTGTTTAGAATGAGCTTGAAGCAGGTGTTTACATTTTAAAAAATGAGTCACTTTTAAGAAAAAAAATCAAGGAAAAATAGAGCAGTTTGCACACTGTTATGGCCAATTATGAAGATGGTATTTGACAATGCAGATTGGAAAATCTAGAGCTGGACAGTTTTCATGAAGCCTCATGGAATGGTGGGGTGCCAGGGCACATGCCTAGCTACACACACATACACACAGCCTCTCTGCACCTCAGTAGTACCTAACTGCAAGGGCATTGTCTGTATCCCTGATCTCATTTGATTTTCAAAATAAAACTAAGATCAGTTATTAAAATCATCTCAGCCAGGCGCAGTGGCTCACGCCTGTAATCCCAGCACTTTGGGAGGCTGAGACAGGTAGATCACAAGGTCAGGAGTTCAAGACCAGCCTGGCCAATATGGTGAAACCCCATGTCTACTAAAAATACAAAAATTAGCCAGGCGTGGTCGCGCCTGTAGTCCCAGCTACTCGGCAGGCTGAGGCAGAAGAATCACTTGAAACCAGGAGGCGGAGGTTGCAGTTAGCCAAGATCGCGCCACTGCACTCCAGCCTGGGCAAAAGAGCAATTCCATCTCAAAAAGAAAAAAAAAAATCATTTCACAAAGGAGGAGACTAAGGTTCAGAGAGGATCCCTGACTTGCCCAAGGTTGCAGTGATGGCAAGAGAGCCTCAACAGCTCTCCTGCACACTCTCCCACCCTCCCTCCTTTCCTGAAATGAGTGCCTACACATGATAGGCATGCACACTCACACCCACCCACACTTCCCTGCCCTGGGAAACACGGAGGGGTAGCTAGTTCTGACTGCCCCGCCCTGCCTCTTATCCTCTCCACACTGCATCAGGGTCCCTCCCCTCCAGGAGCCCAGATACATACGGGTGCAGTAGTGGTGATAGCGCCCCCAGGCGATAGCTGCACTGCTGCAGATGCTGGCCAACGCTGTCACAAAGCCCTGGAAGCCATGAGCCTGGCAGCCATCCGAGCCGTAGGGCCAGCGCCTGTGGGAGACACTGGGCATCAGTGACCCCTCTCCTCCGACTCTTTCCACCTCCCACACCTGCCAAGTACAGCCTGGAGTGTGCGTTCCTGAATGTTGCCCTGTTTCTCCAAGGAGAGCCTTAATATTGGTGTCTTTCCTATGAGGCATTAGAGCTTAAGTAACTGGGCTGAAGGGGTGGAGCCCGATGCACACTCTCTATGCTTGGTGACTTTGACTGCACCACAGTTGGGCCATAGGCTCTCTCTGTGTGATCAGATTCCACTGTCACAGGAGAGCTCATGCCTGTATTTGATAGGTGGGGAAACTGAGGTTCAAAGAGGCAAAGATACTGAAGCCAAGGTCACACAGAAGATGAAGGCAAAGTTAGAGGGGAGATCCCAGGCCTCCCCAGCCTAAAGGGCCAAACAAAGGTGGAAGCTTCAATTCACTGTGGGAGGAAGAATTCTCGCTGATGCAGACCCCCCAGGCTGGTCAGCACGGAGCATACACATCCAGGTGGGCTCCAGCCTCCGTCTGCAGTGTCCGAAACCAGAATGAGAATGTCCAGTCTGCTTCAGAAAACAATTTTATAAACACCTTCTGAAGCTGTGATGGAAGACCCTGGTTTGTGTATAAGGAGGTGTTAGACGCTAGACAAAACCCCGTTTGTTTTCACACTTACTTAGAGTCCTAGGTATCAAGCATTATTTTAAGTTATTTACACATAATAGAAGTAAATACTTCCAACGAACTATATGAGTTAGGAAATAATACCCTATTTATGGAAGAAGCCCAGAACTAGAAATGCTGAATGAAGCCAGAATGCAAACCTAGGTTGCTTGGTTACAGAACCTATACCATTGATCTCCACAGCCTGCCATCTCTTTCATCAGGTTTCAGCAATCCCTGTCTTCCAGAAATCAGCAGTCATTCTTCAGAATCAATCTGGAATTCAGCGCATTTTAGCTTGCCCACCCTCTGCCCTTGGCCAATTTTCTGTAGGTAGTAAAAATGCCCTTGGCCTGGCTGCCTGGGGCCCAGAGGTCAGGCCCCAGGCAGGATCTCAGGGCCTGTGGACTGGGGAGGGGGCTGGTACCGGAGAAGGCTGGATGTGGCTGCAATGAGGGCGTTCAGGCTGATCCCACTGTCCGCAAGAGCCAAGCTCAGCACTAGCAGGTGGCAGGGAGTCCGCAGCTCCGGGGTCTTGCAGAAAGAGAAGATGGTCAGGGTATTGAGGCTGAGACCGGAGAGAGCTGAAACGAAGGGTGGGGGCTGGCATTGGGGCTGCTGAAGCCCAGCTGGGGTCAGAACAGGGTGCGTGGGGTGGATGGAGCATCAGCAACCTCCCAGACAGACGAGAAAGACAATCAATATAGTGTAGCATGCTTCATGCTGTAACGATCATAATCACTGACACCTGCCGGGCACTTAGCGCACACTAGGCACCAGGATAAGCACTTAATATGAGTCATCTCATTCAGTCTTCACTTGGATACTCTCTTCTCCATTTATAACTGGGAAACTGAGGCTCAGAGACACTAGCTAACTTGCCCTAAGTACACAGCTAGTAAGTGGTGGAGCTGGAACTTGAATTCAGGGCTTTTGGATTTCAAAATGCCTTCTCCAAGGACTGTAGAGCAAAGTCAGAGAGCCTCCAAGGAGAAGAGTTGATGTTAGAGCTGGGAGCTGCCCAGGACACCAGGCAGGGAAGTGAACGTGAAGGGGGCGTACTCAGGAAGCAGAGAGACCCGACCTTGAATTTTGGCTTGGTTGCCTCGCTTGCTGCTCCTTAAGCTCTCTGAACCTCAGCTTCCCCCATCTAAAGCGAGGAACGGAAAAAAATCCCACCTTCAAAACTATGAGAAGCACTTACCTGCAGGAAAATGCATGGAAGAGCATTCCAGGAGGGAATAGCATGCGCAAAGACATGCTGTGGTACAATGAGATGCCACCTTACTCCTACAAGAATGGCCATCATTAAAAAGTCAAAAAACAATAGATCGATGGCATGGATGTGGTAGAAAGGGAATGCTTATACACTGCTGGTTGGAATGTAAATTAATACAACCTCTATGGAAAAGAGTATAGAGATTCCATAAATAACTAAAAGTAGATCTGCCATTTAATCCAGCCAAAAACACACATGCACATCGATGTTTATTGCGGCACAATTCACAATTGCAAAGATACGAAATCAATGCGAGTGCCCACTGACCAATGAATGGACAAAGAAAATGTGGTATATATACATCATGGAATAATACTCAGTCACAAAAAAGAATGAAATAATGTCTTATTACAGCAACTTGGATGGAGCTGGAGACCATTATTCTAAGTGAAGTAACTCAGGAATGGAAAATCAAATACTGATTGTTCTCAGTTACAAGTGGGAGCTAAACTGTGAGTACACAAAGGCAGTCAGAGGACATAATGGACTTTGGAGACTGGAGAACGGGAAGGGTGGGAGGGGGGTGGGATTAAAAAAACCTACATATTAGGTACAATGTACACTACTCGGGTGATGGGTGCACTGAAATCCCAGAATTTGCCATGATGTAATTCATTGATGTAAACAAAAAAGACTTGTACCCCCAAAGCTATTGAAATTTTAAAAATATTTTTAAAATAAAATAAAATAAAAACCAAAGCATTATGTATATAATGACATTTCTAATCATCAAACATGAAATAAAAATGTAAATTTAAACCTCTTCCAAAAAATAAAGTGGTAAAATTTTATGGCATATTTGAGGACCTGGAGGGATGCTAGATTGCAGGGTTCTCAGGAAAGGGAGACACTGGCTGGGGCCACCAGATAGTCGTGTCCAGAGCCTTCAGGACCAATCAAATGACTGTCACTTCCTCTCCGTTGTCAGTTCTCATTAGAGACTGATGATTTCTCTGGGTCTGCTTTGAACCAAAGCTGCATTCTCCGTCAACTTAGCTCGAGCTGGCACAGATTCAGGGATTGACACTCTCTAGCTCTGGCCTCAGCAAGCATCTTAGGGATTCTAGGTTGAGGTAGGTACCTTGCGGACCCAGGTTGCCTCCAGAGGGGAAGTGCTTAGGCTCATAGGAGTAGACACAGTGAAAATAGTGGTGGGGCTGGAGAGGATGGGAGAGAATGAATTCAAATGCCCTGGAGTCTATTTAGCCTAGCACTTTACACCCATTATCCAATTTAATCTTTACAACCACCCATTCGGAAAGTCAAGGCATTGAGGGCAGAGAGCTGAAGGGACTTGGTTCCAGTCACACAAGAGCAGGTGGCAGAGCTGTCTGTCCCCAGAGCCTTTCAGGGGACTGATCTTATGTGGGATTCTTAGCAGGATTTCTAAGGAGTGGATTAAATTTCCTCCCGACTGGAGGGACATGAAAAGTCCTAAAGCCTGGCTCTTGATCATCTCCTGGGCAGATGTCCCCTCTCAAAGTCCCTCCCTCCCTGACCCTTGCCTGGCTTACTCTCTGCTCGGCAGGCAGTGTGCTGCACCTCACAGGTTCAGCTGTCAGAACACCCCCTGAGTCCAGACACACAGGGGAAGGCAGTCGAGGGGACCTGACACCCAGCTGGATTTGGGGACCTCGCTTCTCCTTGCCAGCTCCATATTGGTGGCCTGGGTCCTCAGAACCCACTGGGCCCCCGGTGCACCCCAGGTTCTGCCTGGCTCACCTTCCACCAGCAGCACCATCCCCACAGCCAGCACCTCGAGCTCCCCAAAGCCGGTGGGCAGGGCACTGGTCTCTGCCATCTTCACTCTCCCTCCTGCCAGTGGCCCAGCTGTCTCTGGCTTCCCGCAGCCAGGCCCTCCCTTTTAAAGGGCCATCCCATGTGCGTGGAGGCACATGCAGGTTATTATGCTGGACCTTGGGCTCTTTCTGGATGCCTCCCCCCTGCAAACGGTCCTCTTGGTCCAAGCAGAAGGAACCCATTCACGAGTTGGACAATGCAGCCTTTGTGAAGCCAGAATGGAGCCCTGTCTCATTCATTTCAGCCCCATTGCACAGGATTAAGGTCGGGGAATCCAAATGGTGTGTGACTGAGAGCCTAATTGGTAAAGAGTTGCATAACCAAGGGAGGGGAGCAGGAGGAGGGATCTGAGCCGCAGCTGTTCCTGACAAGCCTGGTGCCTGCGCGCGTGTGTCCTCAGGCTCACATGTGTGTACTCCAAAGCGCTGGGGAAAGGATGAAGTTTGGGAAGTCACCTGTTGTCAGAGGAAGAACCCCAAATGGGACCAGAGAATGGGTTTCTGGTTCTGAATCTGTCACTAACTAGTTAGTGCCTTGGAGTGGGACCACTAGACTCTTCGTCTACTTTTCTGCAATGTCAGTATCTTTTGTCTGTGGCCTCTGTACAAGTCTCGGTTAGATATCGTGAATATAAACCTCAGGGCTGCATTTCCTGTCTCCCATAGAGCACTTGAGCCACACGAGCATTAAAAATCTCCTAGGACACTGTCTTAGAACAGAGGGGCTGCCATCTTGTCAGTCTCCGTCCCCCCAACCCGCCCAGCCTTGCCGGCCCCGCTAAGAGCTTTGGCTGCTACAAATGACTTCCTGGCACACTGGCTCTTTATGCATTGTTATGCTCTGGCTCGTGATAAAATTTACACCAGGAAACACTGATCTAGGGCAACTTAATTCATTTCAGATTAAGAAACCAAGCTCCAGAGCACTATCGGCAACATAGCTAATATTGAGCGAGGTCAGGCACTGTGCTAAGGGATCTTCTGATGAGTCCTACAAACAACTCCTTGAATTGGATACCATTATCCTTTCCATTTCAGATGGGGAAACTGTGGCTAAAAGCAGTTAAAATCTGCCTGAGGCCGTGCAGTAATTTATGGATGGAGCTGGAACAAAAGCCAATCTCTTATTCCTCAGGCTCAGGCAATTTTCAATGGCATCTTTGACGCACTCTGGTAGAGCAACCTGCTCTGTTCCAGGAATGCCCACTTCCCAGGCCTTTCCTCTCATGAGTCCTCACTTCCATCTAAGCCTAATCCTTCCGCAGGGCTGAGCTTATTTTTGCACCCTCCAGAGCGTTCCCTGTTCTTTCTCAATTTCTTTTTTTTTGTTTGTTTGTTTGTTGTTGTTTTTTTTGAGATGCAATCTCGCTGTGTCGCCCAGGCTGGAGTGCAATGGTGCAATCTCAGCTCACCGCAACCTCCGCCTCTCGGGTTCAAGCCATTCTCCTGCCTCAGCCTCCTGAGTAGCTGGGATTACAGGCATGTTCCACCTGTAATGCTCGGCTAATTTTGTATTTTTAGTAGAGACAGGGTTTCTCCATGTTGGTCAGGTTGGTCTCGAACTCCCGACCTCAGGCCTGCCTCAGCCACCAAAAGTGCTGGGATAACAGGCATGAGCCACTGTGCCCGGCCTTCTTTCTCAATTTCTACCTTATGTATTACCTGTTGGTTAATACATATGTCAGTCCTTTTTTCATGCCTTCAAGGTCACAACAGCCTTCATGAGAGAAGATAAAGCAGGGTAAGGCCAAGATTAAAGGGTAAAGTTCATTTGGGCAAAAGACACAAGGAGGAAGAAGCAGAGATGTGGAAATAGGCACATCTGGTGGCTGGGTTTGGGGAGGAGGAAGTATAGCTGGGAAACACTGAGAAAATCCTACTGGCTGCACTGGAAGGAAAGAATGAGAAGCCAGTATTGTCAAAACTGACCTGGCACCGAGCTAGGCATTTTATGTGTGCGCTGGGGCCCCAGATATCTTTGCAGGTCATATACCTCACGGTCTAGGCCTGCCTGGAGTCACAGGCATGAAGGACTGGGGAACCCTCTAGAAAAGTCAAACAACATAGGTAGGGCATGCTGGACCAGAGAACAACGCCTCGGGGTCAAATGTGAAGAATAAATGAGTGAGTTGACTGAGTGTCTACTACTAGGAATCATCCCTCGTCAGTCCCCACTGGCATCTTGAGAAGATATGGTAAAGCGAGATAGGGTTACAAGAGAATAGGTAAAAATTGAAATTAGGCCAGGTGCAGTGGCTCAGGCCTGTAATCCCAGCACTTTGGGAAACTGAGGCAGGAGGCTCACTTGAGGCCAGGAGTTTGAGACCATCCTGGGCAACACAGCAAGACCCTGTCTCTACAAAAAATAATTTTTAAAAAATAGCCAAACATGGTGGTGGTTGCCTGCAGTTCCAGTTACTCAGGAGGCTGAGGCAGGAGGATGGCTTGAGCTCAGGAGTTCAAGGCTACAGTGAGCTATGATTACACCACTGCACTCCAGTCTGAGTGACAGAGCAACCCTGTCACTATAAAGCAAAAGAAAGCTTTATGAATGGAGAATTTCCAAAAGCCCTTATTAGAGGTTGGGTTCTGTCTCCAAAAAAACCTGAAGTGCCTTCTCTAAGAACTCTCTGAGCTACCTCTCTGGGGCCGTTGCTGGAGTACCATCCATTGAGGAGAGGGGTGCCCTTGTCCCTCATGTGGAGACATCCCCACCTTTGGCATTCATAGTAATGCCCAGGACGGGCCAGCTGAAATAGCAGTGTGCTGAGTCCATATCCATGGGGCACTCAAGGCAGGCAGCTGTTTGCCTGGCAGCCTGGGACAGTTTGCGGGCTCATGAGAGACACCCCTGATGTCTCTCCAAAATATCTGAATCTGTCCAGTTCCTCTGTAAGCAGGGACTTAAAAGAACCAGTGAAACTGGGCACTTACAACTTATGAGGGAGCTTCTGTTCCCACAGGCTATCAAGGCCTTGGAATTTGAGTTTAATTTTTACAAACACCCTGCATGGAGTAGCTTTATTTCTCTTTGTCAGATAAGGACACAGAGGCCAAGAGATAATGTGACTCACCCAAGGTCACAGCCCATTAATGAAACAGCTGGGATTTGATCCCAGGAAGCCTGGGTCCAGAGCTTAGCCTCCTTCCAATGCCTTTAGCACCGTCAAGAAGCATTGCTTCATTTCACTGCTTTTTTTGCTGTAAGACAGTGTCACAGGAAAGAATTTCCAAAGGCCCTTATTGAGGCGGGAGTTCTGTCTCCATCTTCCCTGGCACTCTACTGGAGTCTGTGTTGTCCGTGGCCTTGTTGGGATGGGGTGCTTTGCAGATGACAGTCCCATGGCTGTTCGCCCCTGGGAAGCTGTCTATTTGTCTTGCTTTGCTGTGCCCTGGCCTCTCTGGGCCTGTGGCTATTCCTATGGAAGGGGGTCCCCCGCCTGCACCCTCAGGACTGAGTGATTCGGAAAGCAATAAGCCGCTGAGTGCTGGGGCTGGGACTCCCCTCCCTAATCCCCAGCCTGTCAGTGTTTATCCGATGGCCTCAGGAGGGGGTGTAAGGGGCTGGCGAGCAAGTGGGCAGCTGCTGGGCTTGCTGGGCTTGCTGGGCCGGTGGGACGGAGCGGTCCAGGGACAGGCCCCTGCCTGGGCCAGACAGGAGCCAGGAGCCATGAGGGTGGCATTAGGCATGCTCTGGCTCTTGGCCCTTGGGTGGCCCCCCCAGGCCCGGGGGTTCTGCCCCTCTCAATGCAGCTGCAGCCTCCATATCATGGGTGATGGCAGCAAGGCCAGGTATGGTACTGGGTGTGTGGGATGGGCAGCCCAGCCTCCATTGCTCTGCTAGCTAGGCTGGGTTGGGAGGAGTTGGAGCTGGGGCCGTGGGTGAGATCTTCATCTCCCCTGGCCCCTGAGGACCAGGGGTCTTATGGGGTGGTCTGTGCTGCATTATTTTTCAGCAAGCAAAGGGGTGACTCTGTCCGAGAGATACCAGGTATCTATACACATGGGCCCGAGGGTGAAGCACAAGTGTGTCAGTTCTAGGAAGTCCTTCCTGAGTCCTCCTCCAGGCTCCTGGAGGAGAAGAGCTCTCCTTAAAGGTCCAGGAAATCCCTTCCCTTACTGCTTTCTTTTCTTCTCCTTGATTTTTTCTATTCCTTCTTCTTTTCTATATTTCCCCAGCCCCTTCTTTCCCAGGCCTCTTGCACTCTCTTGCCTGACCTCTCTACAATGTCCAATCATATTTCCTATGACCCCATCCGTGATGGGACCACTTGCCTCTCATTCTCTTCCTCCTCTCAATCTTCGCTGGCCAGATCCCAGGAGCCTCAGCCTCAATCCCTTTTTATGGGTGATCCAAAAGCAAGGAGTGCCCATCCCATGACAAGCGTGCTTCCTTCCATCCCCAGCCTTTTCCTTGACTTTCCCCACCCTCTGTCTGATCCCTCAGAGCACTTCCAGTCGCTCCTCCTCTCCTTCCATGACCATTCCCATGCCACCATGGCTTGTGGACCCTTGTTCTTCCACTACTGCTCATTTTCTTCTTTTCTTTAGCAACCTTTAAAACATCTTTTCTCTGACTTCTTTAGCTTATCCATTAAAGACCTCTGCATGGTTTCTGAGCCACTGATGGTTTCTGACCCAGGGAACAATGTTATTGGCAATGAATGTCGAGTTGATTGGGGGATGAGAGGAGGCAGAGAATGGAGAAGAACCACTAAGAAAAGACACCTCAAATGATCTGAGAACCAGAATGAACTCCACTGTAGCCCAAGTGTCCAGCGCATCAACTCATATGGAGGGGGGTAGGGATCCTGTCCCCAAGAGAAGCCAGGCTGAGCCCTGAACAGGCTGTTTCCAGCCTGGAGAGTGTCACTGGAGTGACAAAAAGCCTCCCATCACCCATAGAAGGCATAGGGCTCAAAGACACACAACATCCTTGACGAAACTGGTCCTGGAACCCAGGCATTCTGATTCAGTTTTCAGAATACTTATCTGGTGATGCTGCCATAGGCAGGGACCAGTGATAAGTTCCAGGCAGCAGAGTTAGCCTTAAGATGGAAAATGAGTTTCTAGGGTCGCTAATGTCAGTGGGCATTCCTTCCTCTGAAGCCGGAGCTCTTGGTTCTACCCACTTGACCATCCCATGGCTAACATGCACCAGCCCATCTTCACGGAGGGTCCTATGAGGTCATGAAAGATGGTAGCGGGCCCTGAGGTCCCCTGTGGCTA